CTCTGCCCCTGATCCCGCTCCCCCAGCTGCCACCAATCACAGCCCCTCCAACACCGCCCACATTGCCCAGGGCACCACCCACTCAGGCACCCGAGTGAACCCCTCCTCGGCCCGACCCTCAGCTACCTCCCCTCCACGGTACCCCCACTCCCCACCCCGAACCTCCTCCTCCCCTGCTTCTGTCAACGGCCCACGCGGCTCTGAAACGGCTCGGAAGAGCATCCTGGAGTTGCAGCGGAAGCTGGCCCACCGCAAGACCAGCAAGTTCCCCGAGAGCCCCCGAGGTCGGTGCTGTCCCGGGGTTGACACCTGTCTGGGGGCTCCTGACCGCCCTCGGAGACCCCCCCGGGCACCTGCCTGGGCTATAGACCACGCCACTGCCCACCCCCTCCACCCCTTGCCGTCCCCAGAGCCGAAGCAGCTGGCCTTGGAGAGGTTGGTGGGGGAGATCGCGTTCCAGCTGGACCGCAGGATCCTGTCCAGCATCTTCCCGGAGCGCGTGCGCCTCTACGGCTTCACCGTCTCCAACATTCCCGAGAAGATCATCCAGGTGTGTGCCGTCTCCCACTCACGGCCAGAGGGCCTGCCGGGCACGTGGCAGGAATGGGGAGCGTGCTGGCCGCTGAGGGGCTGCTGGGGGCCCTGCCCTCCAGCCAGGTGAGCGCAGTGTAACCCCAGGGCACCGGGGACGGAGGAAGGACTGCGCTCCGTCCACGTGGCCAGCAGCGCCTGGGCACCTACCAGCGGGAGGCCGTGGTCCCAGCTGCACTGACTCCCCAGAGAACAGGGCAGGGGAGCGGCTGAGCATGGTCAGGTCTGCGCTTTCCTCCTCGGCCCCTGCAATGGCCCCCCAGGCCTCCCCCCAGACTGGAAGGGGGCGTGCATGTGGGCTCCGCTTGGGAAACAGCCCCCTGTGCTCCCGGCCACCTCCTCTAGGCCACCTGTGTCTGCGCACTATCCACCTGGGGGAGGGGGGGTGACTGGGCAGAGTGACTGCTTACAGGGGTTCATCCGGCCCAGCTATGAGCTGGTCTTTTCCTGTTGTTGAGGTGCCTTCAGTCTTTCCCTTCAATGTGGCGCCCGTGGTGCCCCCCGCGACCCCTCAGTGGCTCCGGGAATGTTTGTGACTTTTGTGTAATGAGTTAGTTGTCCAGCCGAAGCCTCTCACTAGTTTTCAGAGCTCACATATCATCAGCTCAGTTTTCTACGCAGACAATCATTTTGTACAGTAGTTACGAGAAGCCATGATGTGGCAACCTCATCCTGTTTCTGACTTGACGAGGAACACTTCCTGTTAAGTATGAGGTGTGCTCCAGGCTTTTAAAAAATATCTTTTTTTTTTTTTTTTTTTTTCATTGAGTTCAGAGAGGAAGGGAGAGGGAGAGAGAGATAGAAACATCCATGATGAGAGAGGATCATGGATCGGCTGCCTCCTGCACACCCTCTACTGGGGATCAAGGCCGCAACCCGGGCCTGTGCCCTGACCGGGAATTAAACCCTGACCTCCTGGTTCATAGGTCGTTGCGCAACCCCTGAGCCCGCCGGCCGGGCTGCTCCAGGCTTTTTGCCGGGTCAGTCAGTTCCCGGTTACAGATGACAGATCCCTCTCGAGCTGGTGTCAGCAGGAAGGGTTATTACGTCTGCGTGGCCCAGAAGCTCCGGAAGCAGACAACAGTGGGCTTTTCCTGCTCTGCAACCAGGAAAAACGCCAGCACACCAGGGACCTTCCTAGTGGACACACCATTGCAGAAACCCAGGTCCCAGGGGCGTCGGGAAAAGGTGGTTTTCAGCTTCCAGCCCCTTGGAAGTCAGAGGGCGCTAGAAGGCTCTAGAACAGAAACCAGATGAGCCAGATTCAGAATCTGCCCCATCGGGTTAAGAAATTTCCCCTCTCCCTCCTTTGTTGAGAGCTTTTGGTTTTGTTTTCTTAATCGTGAACAAACATTGGATTTTTTTAGAATGTTGTTCTGTCTCTGATGAGATGCTCACATGACTTCCCCTCTCTCCCTTTTCTCTTTAACATATTGACACTCGAGATAAGATATTCTGATCATAAACCACACCAATCCCTGGTGTTTGTTTTGTTTTTTTAATATATTTTGATTTCAGAGAGGAAGGGAGAGGGAGACAGAAACATCACTGATGAGAGAGAATCATGGATCAGCTGCCTCCTGCACGCCCCCCACTGGGGATGGAGCCCTCAACCCTCGGGCATGTGCCCTGACCGGGAATCGAACCCTGACGTCCTGGTTCATGGGTCGATGCTCAGCCACTGAGATACACGTGCTGGGCTATTTTTGTTTCTTGGGTTGAGTACTTCATTTTATTTTGCATTTCTTTTGCTTTTAAATAAAGCATTTAGGGGGGCAGTAAAAATCTGTAACAACTGGAACTGCGGGAACCAGCCAGAGTGGACGGTGAGGCAGGATCTAGGGCAGAAGGGGAGGTTCTATTGCTCAGCAGCTGCCGGGGACGCGGTCTCGGAGCAGCCACAGCCCTGTGTCTGCCACCCCCCTGCCTGCCTCGGAGAGTACCTGCAGGTGGACGAACCCAGCCCTCGCCCTCTATGGCCAGACCCTGTCCATCCCTACCGTGGTCAGCTTGAGCATTTAAAACCACAAAGCCACCCTAGCCTGTTTGTCTCAGTGGATAGAGCGTTGGCCTGCAGACCAAAGGGTCCCGGGTTCGATTCTGGCCAAGGGCAGGTATCTTGGTTGCGGCTCCTCCCTGGCCCGGGCCCTGGTCCAGGCGCGTGCAGGAGGCAACCAATCGAAGTGTTTCTCTCACATCGATGTTTCTCACTGTCTCTCCCTCTCTCTTCCACTCTCCCTAACAATCAATGGAAAAATAACCTCGGGTGAAGATTAACAAAAAAAATTAATTTTTAAAAAACAACACCGCCCCCCCCCCCAAAGCCCACCAGGAGCCTCCATCCCTTCAGGACAGGGCCCTTCCTCCTGCTCTGCTCTCAGCACCTTGGGGTGTGGGGGGCCATGCCCTCAGCTCCCCCACCCAGGGTGCTTGTCCTCTTCTTCCCCACCTGCTCCCCTTCCCCTCTTAAAGGGTCACTTCCTTGGGGCAGCCCTGGCCTGGTCTCTCAGCCCACACGGCTCTCCAGGGCCCAGCACCCTGCAGGGCGGGCTCAGTCTGGACCGCACTGACCTCCCGTTCCTTCCGGAGATCCGTGCCCCAGACCTCGCGCAGCGGGAGCTCAGCCAGGGCCCCGGGCTGAGCAGGCCTTGGGGCTCCTCCCGGCACGGCCCACAGCTGTGCACCCACGGTGCTCCCTGCCATCCCGGGATGACAGTTCCCTTGCTTACCCTCCACCGTTGGCTGAGCTCTGGAAGTCCTTCCCACTGGGGCCAGGAGAGGAGGCTAGAATCAGGGAGACAGGCTGCCCAGGAAGTGAAGAGCCAAGCCTAGAGCTCTAGTGTCACCTGCCAGAGGTCAGGGGTCACTTCAGCTGAGCCCAGCCCTAAGCCCAATGCTCTGCTCACATGACCACCTGGGGGGGAGGACAGAGTGGTCTTCCTGGAGGAGGTGATGCCTAAGCGTCTTGTCTGGGCCTTCCCGTCAGGTAAGGAGCTAGCATCTAGGGAGTGGCTGGCAGGGGGCACGCAGGGCCAGATCAGAACCTCGCAGGTCGGCCCTGGCCCCGAGAGCGGGAGCAGAGGGAACCGCAGAAGGGCTCAGGCAGGGAGACACCCTACCGGACGCCCACTTCAGACCCTTAGTTCTGCGGGCCTGGGGGCCACGGCACCTGTGACAGGCACATCATGTGCAGGACCCAGTGCAAATGGTAACACAGCAACAGCTGAGCATTCAGCTGAGTGCAGGCCCTCTGAGCCTGGTGTCATGTGACTGTCCAGGAGGCCACAGCGGGGGGCGTGGGGAGGAAGGACGCAGCCACCACCTGGCTAGGGAGCACAGGTGATGAAGACGCAGGTGGAGACAACCCCCAGCCGCTGCCAGTCCCCAGGTCCAGGCACCAGGAGCGGACACCTGAGGGACAGCCGGACCCCAGTGCTGGGGCAGCATGGCTGGCTCTGGGCCTGGTGGTCATGTCAGCGTGAGGTGGGAGTGACTCCAGCAGGGCCTGAGCCAGGTGCAGAGGAGGAGGCGCCTGGAGAGATGAGAGGAAGGGCAGGGGGCCAGGAGGAAGCCCGGGAGAGCCCCCCAGTGGCGTCTGGTGGGCCAGGCAGCCCTGGGGGCATCGGAGCTCCCTCACTGTCCCTCCAACCCCGGCTCCCAGCCACGCTCTCGCTCTCGGTCCTCGGTTCCTCTTGGCCTCAGCTCCGTCCCGAGTCCCTGGTGGTGATGGATCCGGGGATGGGGCTTAGGGAACCTTTGCCCCTCACCTGACCGCGTCCCCTCCCTCTTCCCAGGCCTCCCTGAACCCCAATGACCACAAGCTGGATGAGGAGCTGTGCCAGACGCTCACCCAGCGCTACGTGAGCATCATGAACCGGCTGCAGAGCCTGGGCTACAACGGGCGGGTGCACCCGGCGCTGACGGAGCAGCTGGTGAATGCCTACGGCATCCTGCGCGAGCGGCCAGAGCTGGCCGTGTCCGAGGGCGGCTCCTACACCGTGGACTTCCTGCAGCGCGTGCTGGTGGAGACGGTGCACCCCAGCATGCTCACCGACGCGCTGCTGCTGCTCTCCTGCCTCAGCCAGCTGGCGCACGACGACGGCAAGCCCATGTTCATCTGGTGACGGCGGCCTGCCCCGCCGGCCCAGGCTCGCTGGGCCCAGCTCCCCCACGCGTAGACATTAAAGATTCCCACGGTGCTGGCCGCGGGGCCTGCCCGCACTCCTGGCCGTGCTGCTTCCTTGGGTGGTTCCCAGTGCCCGCTCCCCTTTGCCCGGTCAGTACTGACGGCCCTGGGGCAGCTGCCTGGCCGAGGGGGGTTCAGAAGGCCCCAAGGCTCCCCTGGCCTGGCCGTGGGAGCAGCGAGAGGCCCTGACTTGGCGGGAGGAGCAGGAAGCAGGAAGGAGCCGAGCTGGCAGGGAAGGCTGTGGCAGTGTCTGCACCCCTGGCCACAACTGTGGGCTGGGGCCTGGGTGCAGCGCAGAGGCAGATTGGACGCGAGAGGAGGATGTGGCTGTGGGAGTTCCTCCTTCTGGACCAGGCAGGGATGAAGGGGGAGGTTCTGGACCCTCTTGAGAGCAGGGGGACATGAGAGGGAGGGAAGGGAACCAGGAGAAAGCCTCCCATGGACCTGGACATGGGTAGCCCAGGGGGATGGGACCCCTTCCCAAGGCACCCGGGGCCCAGGGAGCAGAGGCAGCTCCACCGGGTGCCGAGACCAGCCCCCACCTGCTGCAGGGGCAGAGGCAGGATGGGAAAGCAGAACAGAGCAGGGGAGCTCGGCCCCAGGCGTGGCTCAGGGGTTGAGTGTCCACCTATGAACCAGGAGGTCTGGTTCAGTTGATCAGGGCACATGCCCGGGTTGCAGGCTCCATCCCCAGTAGGGGGCGTGTGAGAGGCAGCCGATCTATGACTCTCCCATCATTGGTGTTTCTATGTCTCTCTCTCCCTTCCTCTCTGAAATCAATAAAAATATATTTTTTTAAACATGCTTAAAAAGAACCTGCTGTAGGGACTGGTTCACAGCTCCAGTTAGAAAGGGGGGGCCCAGCGACGCCAGAGGGAGTCGGAGGCCGCTCCCTGGCCACCACCTGAGCGGGTGGGAGCGGGCTCAGCAGGTAACGGAGACGGGCCCTCGTGCCAGGAGGGGGCGGGGGCAGTGGCCGCGCAGGATGGAACCAACGGCCCCTTCCCCCCAGTTGGGAAGCTCCGTGGGGTAGGGTCACAGAGCCGTCCTACTGTGCGCCCGAA